CGGTGGATGCGCCGCTTCCCTTGTATTTTCTAAAAAATAAATACATATTAATTTTAATTATATGAAAATAATCGCACAATATTTTATTATAACCGCATTATGTATCTTATTACAAGTTTCTATACTACACGTGAAAAAAAAGATAAGATTGCTATTGTATATTCGAATATTAGTGGCGAAGTGGCCAGATTCGTGGCCAAAAAGCCAGATTCGCGCATGCCCTTTACAGTGCACCAACTTCACCCGGTTTAGCCGGTGAAAGTCTAGGACCTTGGGTGGATGCTACACGTATACCGCATCCAATTTTATCCAGGACCGGTTCCGGGCTGTTAGCCGCTTGCCCGCTAGATATTTGGCCGCCCTCGCCCGATTACGTGAATTACGAGTAGATTTATAACTTAACCGATAACAATTTACCTGTATGTTTTTATGATAATTTTCTGTATAGTTGACAGGAGTTTTAAAAAATCCGTTAAAATATTTGATATTTTTATTCCGCTCTCCGATTTTATATTACTCATGGATTTCAATTTTAAACCGGTGATATTACGATTTCATATATCCCATCTCTAAGGGGATGTAGAAAAAAACGTGTACAATTCTTGTATAATGTTAAAAGATTANCCAATTAAAAAACATACAAAAAATCAAACGGTTTAAAATATTAATACAATTAGGGAAATTATTATATAGATAACCACCTATGGAATTTCGGGACATTGAGTATCTATCTGAACTGAGGGGACCGAAACGACTTTAACGATACCCTACTTTTGGACCGGAGACGAAAAATAATAAAGTTATCATACTTTTTCTGGTGATCGCATGATATAATTGTGCAATTAATGTTACCTATGGTGAGTAAAATGGCGGCTCGTCTCTGATTTCAGCAAACAGAAGAAAGGAAACAGTGGGGACGCACGTTCTAGCCTAACCTAACCTATTCTAATAAATTACCATAATTATTACCAACCAAATTATTAGAATAGGTTAGGTTAGGTTTGAACGTGCGTCCCCACTGTTTCCTTTCTTCTGTTTGCTGAAATCAGAGACGAGCCGCCATTTTACTCACCATAGGTAACATTATCCAATTGTGCTTACTTATTAGTGCAGTCTAAACATTGGTGACACTTTGCATTTCATAGCAATTGGTTTTTGCGAGAAGCACACATATTTGTGGTACATTTATTTGTGGCAAAGACCTTATTTTTACTTTACCGAGTGCCTAGTAGGTAATGTGCGGATTACCTAGATACTCTGCATATTATCTAGGTAATTTCAGAAATGGAACAATTTTCACAACTTTAACGGATCACCCTAGTTAATCTGCAGATTTGCTAGGCCTAGGTAATGTACACATTATTAACGATTTTCGAACTTTAGCGGTAACATATATACTATGTAATCTGTATTCTAAATGCCAGCATTTTTACCAAGAGATGCATTCACTTCCCTTTGAAGAGCAGATAGGTGATTCGTTTTGTTATAGACATTGCTACTCTACATATTGCCAGATCTACTTAAGAGTTCTTTTTGAAATATCCAACGAGTTATGCAACTTTTCCAGCAACAGATAAAACTACGTATGGTGCCATCTGTTTTGATATTTTATTTTAAAAACTTTCTATTATTATTATAAAATGTGGGGGAAAAAGCTTAAATATGATGGTAGAGATGAGTTTCATAACAAAAAAAATTGCAAATGCTAGTAACCAGTAAAATCTTCATTAAATTAATTAAATTAAGTCTGATCTCTCTCGAGATATGGTAAACGATCCTCTTCTATCTCCTCAATACTCGATCTTTACCCATCAAAATGTAATATAGGTTTTCATAAAAATTACAGGCTAACCATTACGTATTTCATATTTCTAAAAGATTGTGTGAAACATTTTTATCTAGCGTATTTTAATTATTATTTAACTTTTAAATTTGTATGCTTTTATTGGAGTATATTCTATTACACTTATATATTTTTAATAATTAATTAATTTTAAATTAATTCGAAAGAATGTAGCAATCTAGATCATTGTTTCTCAACCTCTAACGAATCTTCGCCCCCTTCAACGTAGTATTGCCCCCTTCAATAAGACCATTACGTAGTATCACCCCCTTCACTACAAAATTCAGATGCCGAAGGACAATGCTAACGCCAAATTCGTACTGCATTGAATAGACTAGTGACTAGTATAATGTTATTTGTTTAATTATTGTACGATATAACGAATAAAATATCCAAGTATCCTTAATATAATGTTTTACTATTTGAAAATTGTTTTCTCCCCCAAAATATAAATTGTTACTAATCGCCCCCTCAACATGGAAAAAAGCCCACATGGAGGCGATATCGCCCCCGTTGAGAAACACTGATCTAGATGAATATATGCTTCAAAAGATTAAATGAGAATAAAGGAATGTTACAATTATTTGATTTATCGGATTCTTTGATAACTTTTCAAAGATAAAATTTGGGTTTCTTTTGCCTTTTTTTATTCCTAATCATCGGAATTAGTAGTTAAATAATAGATTTTTGCAATTGTTCGAAACTATGCAATACACTTTAACAAGAGAATTCTATTTATAGTCTATTTCTTGACTTACATATCTTCTCTATGAAGGTCATCTATTCATTTGCAGGGCTGTCGAGAACTTGTAAGAGGCCCGGTGTTAGAGCGGGGCCTTATAGTCTTTTTTATATATAGTCTTTATTATAGTATTTTAACAAATGAAATACGTAGAATGTTTTTTAATCAATAAAAAGTAGTCTTAAATTTTTTTTTAATTTTCTACCGGTAAAAATAACATTAATTCTCGAAGACCCCAAAAATTTTTAAAACTGAATTGAAATAAATCATACAAGCGTATATTATGACTCACACTACGCTTTAACACGTTTCATTGCGATACTTTGGTTGGCTTAAAATTTAGTCTTTATTAGTTGCCCATTTAGTCTTTACTAGTGACTAGCGAACTATTTAAAGAAGTCGATTAAAAAAATTATTTAGGAATGCTATCAGTAAATATGGAAAATGTGCATATAAGATATTATAATTTAAAAAACACGAAAGAATGCCTGAGGAAATATATTGTCAAAATAAATCACGTAACAAGTAAGTAACAAAAGAAGTTTCACAATTTCGTATGAGTCATGTGTTACGCAACATAAATCTGATACCAAATTTGAATCATTAGTCTATTCTATTGAACAAAATCATTTTAAAAAGTGGGAATAGCCATAAAAAATTTCTTCATTCCTATTTGTTTTATTATTAACCGAAAGATGGCGCCATCTATTAAATATCAAATTTGTTTTTTCTACGAAAGCGTATCTATCATCTATATTGTAAATATGAAGTATAACTTTATTTTACGATTAATTGACACTTTCGTCGATTTTTGCATGCTATTTCACATTTTACTTTTGGATTATAAATTATAAGCCCAAGCGATCAAGGCGTCAGCCTACAGCAGTGTAAGATCCTGGATCGAATCCGGACTGGTCGGAAAAACCCCAGGAATGCCCGAAATGCATATCCTTTGTAAAAAAATTGAAAATAAAAATTCACTTTTTTCTACAAGAGGAGTGTTTCTGTGTGATAAGTTCTCAATAGCAATTTTATGCTCGGTTCCAAGGAACATACAAACACAGGAAGTTTTCATGAGTAGTCCATCCTGTCCCTCACCACCCTGTGCTTCATTTGTGGGCCTGGTCTAACCCATAATGGGTTCGATTCTAAAAAAGCCTTCTTAGTGCCCACCGAATTAAAAAAAAAAAAAAAATGTTGTGGGTCTAGCCGAAGTTATGATGAAGTGTCCTTTTAGTATCCACTCCTGTGGATGCTAAGAGGACACAATGTTAAACATGAAACTGTCACGACACTAATCTATTTTTATAAAGTTTTCCTAACGTATCTACATAATAATAAGTAATAAACTAATGGCATATGTTATCTGTTAATGGAAAACTGAACGCCCTTGTAGGAGACAGTTCCTTCATTGTGTCTTTGTTCATTTTCTTTGTCAATCGAGAAGGAAGCGATGTACAAATGTAATATCGATCAGTTTTAATTTTATGTAATAGTTTGGATAAATAATATTTTGTTCGAGGAAAATGTTCCCGAAACATATCTTTTAACTGAATACTGTAAATGGAAGTTTCATGTATATACTTTCTGAATTCTATAAATAAATGAAACATGAAAGACAGTTTCATATAACCGAATACAATCCTTTCCGAAACTTATTCTATCTCGCATTTATTAACTAATGTATTATTTCTTTAATAATAATAATAATAATAAGTAAAAGCCACAAAAAATGAAATTTGTTTAATATTTTAAATGAACAAAATACAAATTATCTCTAGAGAATAAACTAAACATTGAGCGATTTTGATTTTATAACATTATAATTAAAATTTTTTTGTTAAAATATTCTTTGGTTTCGGCGATTTTTCTAATCGCATTTCTTGATTGTATTCATCAGCGACTGAGGTAATAAGAAAAAAAATATCTAAAAAATTACTATTTTTACAAACTGGCACATGAATTGGTTAATGAAAGTTTTTTTGACTACGCAGTTATACGTACGTCCACGTAATTGGAATTGTTGGTCAGTGGTAATTCCTCTGCGGGTTTAGATTTTGTATCCCTCGATAGAGACGTGAGGAGGGCATCCAATTGATTTTCATCGAGAGCAATAGTTCGACGTTTCATCTTGACATCGGTATCCGACCATACATCTTGGTATCTGAGCGGAGGTGGTGAAGATACGGAGGGTTGATATACAGATAGCGATTTATGTTTACGAGCATCGCGAGCAGCAGATACAAGGCGACAACAATCCACTAAAACTGATTTATTTTTAAAGAGCGGTTCGCGATCAACGACATTTTTAGAATTTTCGGAACCTTCGGGTTGCGTTCGTTTTTCTCTAAATTCTTTTTTGGGACTTCTACATTCCGTAGATGATTCTGATAAAGTGAATCCGTCGGATGTTCCAGAAACGACATTGTTGAAACAACGCGGTGTACTGTCGTCTGTACTGCTAGATTCTGGAGATTTTACTTGCTCCGGAGATACTAAACGGCTGAGATTTTTCCATTCACTAGATTGTTTTTCTAGAGCTGTTATGATGTCGTTCATACTTTGAGCTTTGCTGAGATCTTTCGCTGTTTCCAGAGCTTGGTGCTGATTGACTAATTGAGATATGTTAGCTGAGAGAGAACGAACGGCGCGATATTTTTTGTTCTGTCGAGTGAACATCTTTGAAATATCTTTGCGTAAATTCCTGTAGGCCATATCGTCTCTTACCACGTCTGGGGTTTCTTGGTGACGATAAATAGGCCTAGTATCTTCTTTTGGACTGGCTTGTAAGTAGCTAGTTGAGGAAGACTTAACCACGGGTCCCAAAGGTATACCAAAAGGTGGTTGACTATTCTGTACTTTAGCACCAGTTGACTGAGTGTAATTTCGATATGAAAGATCATCTTTTTCGACATCCGGTTGAGATTTAGCTGTCAGATCTTTGAAGTATTCGTTAACGCTTAAAGAAGGGGTGAAAACCGAGGAACATAAAAGATAACTTTGAGCATTTTCGGATTTTGGCTGTTTATTCTGAGAAACAGCTCTTTGAAATCTTCGATATGCAAAATCATCAGTCACTTTGTCTGCTATTCCGGCCCTTCTCAGAGGAGGAGCACGCATTTGGACCGGTCTATTGCATACTAGCAGACAATCGTAACTTCTAGAAATTGGCCTCTTCTGAAGATTTTCATCAACGCATCGTGCATCATCGCGAGAAGAAGAATTGCGCGTTTGAACAGAGGAATATCCCTCTTGATGTTTTGTTGGAAGATCACGACGCTCCGCTCTATCAGCAAGATCATCATCATTCAGTTGTAAACTTTTATAAATTTCCTCTAACTCTTTAAGAGCTTGATCCAAATTTTCTGAACCTTTATTAATCGTTTTAGAGAGATGAGGACTTTTGCTTATTACGTTTTCATTCGATTCAGGTTTGTAATCACTTTCTGGACTAGTCAAACTGCTTCTTGTTTTCTTCATAATATCTTCAAGTTTCGATCTCGCATTCAGATTCATAGTAGAGTTCCAGTGATATTTTCTGATAGGAGGGACTGGAGGAATTGGTTTATCTGCGTTTTGTGTTTGTGTTTCTGGGGAGACATTAGTATAATTTTTGGGATTAGTTAAATAGTCTAAAGTGTCTATCACCATTGAAAGTGGTCTGCAATTTGGAGAAGGTGGAGACTTTTGCTTATGACCAGATGCGCAAAGTCGAGGAATAGCAGACTGATAGTCAACATTATTCATTCTGTTAGGAAGTGTATGAAGTGCTCGTGATTTAGTAAAATGAATAGGACACGATGGTATTTTAGTTTCACATGGCTGAGATGCATTAGATTCCATTGGCTTTGATACGTATTCACCTATTGTGTGATTTGATTTTGCTTTTTCTTCATTATTCTTTTGAATTTTCGAAACCATTTTCTTCACATGACTCGAAGAATTGACAGAATATTTTGGTGCTTGATCAGTGTAACTATAAAGAATAGGTTTCCTATTGCAGTTGGTATATGAATTTGCACAGTGTGGAACAAATCGAAAAGGAACAGAGCAACACATTCGTTCAGCGTGACAGCAACAATCTGGAAATTTCGGTCTAAGAATTGCCATAGCTCTTCCATTACCGGTACAGTTTTCCGCATCACCAGTTGATAGTCTTCTACATCGATGTATAAACTCTGGATAAATTCTGGGAACTGGTGATGTTGAAACTGAAGAAAATGCACACTTTTCACTTCTAACATCAGACGACGATCGTGATCTATCACTGGAACTGAAATTTCGAAATCGCATTTTCGATCCTGGCTCGATTTTAGCACATAATCTTGTCTCTTGCCATCGTTTCGAAGGACTTGGAGCTCGACCAATACTAGGACTTGATGCAACTGATTGAGTGCTAACACCCGAATCGTTGGGCGAAGGCTGACTGGGATTTGAATCATTTCGAGTAATTACCGTTGTTACATTAAGAGGCGTCATAATTGCATTGGAAATATGCGTTACAGGAATTTCTTGAGGTATGGACTTAGTTTTAATAGGAACTGGTGAATGAGATTCTTGACCAGATTTTCCCGACCGTCCAGCAGGAGGTTTACCTTTATTAAAGTTTTTTAACGAAGACTCATCTTGAGATCTTCTTTTTAGATATCTTTCCGTCCGACCTGGACGTGATCTATTCGGATCTCGAGACGTGCGATGAATTGCTTCATCGCTGTGATATCTGGAAAGTCTTTTAACCTGATCTTTTTCATCATCTGAGGAACTTTCACCATACTTCAATCTTTCCGCTTCCACTCTGGCTTTTAAAGCTTCCATCCGTTCTTTTCTAGTAAGGCTATCCAGTGAATGATTTCTTTTCTCTGTGCTGCTAGAAGAATCATTACCTAATTTCTTTGAGTCGATTTCATTCGGTTTCAGAAATTCCAATGAAGAACAAGAGGTATCCGAACTTAGCGAAAAATCTCCTAGTTTTTGTTCTTCCCTCTTATATGCAGCAAATATTGCTGAATGATCCATTTTAATACCTTTAGTTTTATTTTGGGATGGTAAACTACGAGATTTCTTTTTAGCTTCTGCCTTCTTCTGATGAGACAGTCTTGAATCATGGAACTCATTTCTTTCCATCATACGCTATCAACTAGTAGAATTCTAGAATTAATACACCTGAAAATTGAAAAATTAGACATATTAATTCAATATTATTATTATTTCATTAAGATAATATGTACGTTTTTACATTAAAAATTCACATCTATATACATAAATAAGCCATATTTATATCTGAAAGCCTTGTCATTTAATAGACTTCATCATCATCAAAAAATGAAATGGATAAAGTTATTCTAGAAATTTAATTCTATATAATAATTTCGAGACGTTTTCTGTACATTAAATATTCTATATTAACCAGGAGAATGAATTCTACGATCAAAATAACCAAATAATTCGAATAGTTTAATAATATTCGATTCACATTTTGATAATATTACAGACCTACATTCCAGAATTTATATATCAAAACTTTGATTTTTAATCGCATTCTTCCGCAACGAAGAATACAAAGACCTAATTAAAAATTAAAAATAACTTAAGTAGTATTTTATTGTATTCAACGAAACAATAATGAAGAAGATTTCATAATAAATTCATAGATTTCAGCATAATTAACTTTACCATTTTGAAAATTGTGATGATGTAATTCTATTGAAAAAAAGTATTTTTTTGCAGATTTTATCTTCAAGACTCCAAGGACCCCCTCCAGATTCTTGTAGACGGGCCTCAAATTCGTTTGGCAGATGTAAGCCTAACTGTCAACTCAACAGAGAAATTATAACTTGCCTGTTGCTATTTCACATAATTTAACACATATAATTTAATTAGATGCAGTTTAGAAATATTTGTTATAAGAATTATACTGGTTAAATTTTTATAATATTTTAAAAAAACAAGATAAATATGCCTTTCAGCTGGGTCATTTTGACAAGTTTTTTTTAATATAAAAACTTGTCAAAATGATTAATGGATCTCCTTCATTTTCGTCAATGATTTTTAATTTATTTTTGCTAAATATTTTTAAAATTATTTCCGTTACAAATAAAATTTTTCCTAAATTTTTCGGGGGTCGCGTTATTTAGGCCTACACCGGAAGTAATTTTATAACTTGACAACGCCAAGGTCTTAATTAAAAAACAGAAAAAATTTACAAGCACTTCGAACCTTCGCACTTCATAAAACGTAAATAATTTATCTAAAAAAATGATTGTTTATAATATTTAAAGACCTTCAACACAGATGGACGACTTCTTGTTCACTTTATCAAAGAAATTAAAATGAATTTTGAATGTATTTTAATCCAGAAAATTACGCTTAACGAACCTTAGAGTAAAATGTGCTTCCTCCCTCAGTTTTATAAACTTTTCGTGTAAAATTTACGATCATTTTCATTTTGTTGAATAAAACAAGTAAATTGTGTTTACCAGTAAATCAGATAGAGAGAGAAGGACTTGAAATATCGGATTTCGTTTCCCAATATAGGACCCTCGGGTGTACAGTACGTCCTATATTGAAAGTTCACGACTGTCGTTGATGTGATACAGAAAAATCTACAAATAGAATATGAGGGTTGAGAAGGAAAACTGAAAATTGAAACTAGTATACGCTCTGAAGGGATATTATCCATGAATATTTTACAATTATCTAAATATTTAACCATTCTTCTTTAACTATCAACAACTAATTAAGACCATCATTTGTACCGGATGACAATGACAGAGTTATAATTTTTGTGTTGGGGTGACATTTATATCTGTTAAATTTATTTGAGGCCCGGTTTCGCGACTCCACAGGGAGTCCTTGGAGTCTCTGGTGATAAAAATCTCCAGAAACTTTGACCCAATGGGATTAAACTATATTAAAGAATTCAGGAAGGAAGTTTAATACTTATATGTTATAATAAACGATGAAATATCAATTTAATGGATAGAAGAGGCATTAAAATTTAATGATCATTCATGGCAAGTGACATCACTCGTATGAGTCTTACTTTGTATAGCCTTAACCTCTACTTCAATAACTTAAATGACTAAGAAAATTAATATTTAATTCGTTTATTAAGACATAATGATGAATTGTGACCTATCATATAACTTCCTTGTGTTGGTAACTATGTTTATGTATTGCGATCATCATCTCATTTATCAAGTTCAAGCATTCATTAAAATGCTATTGAAAACGCTCTTTTAACCTTTAAAAAATGACCTTTCGACAGACTCTGCTTGTTCTCTGAAGTTGTGAGAATTGGTAACATCAATCAATGACTTCGGGAGATAAATTTAAGAGTTGGTAAACATCTGCTGAGTTAAGAAATAAATGACCGAAGGATCCATTTAAATTACACTCTATCGAACGTTAAACCAATTTAAAAAGTGAATACAAGAAATTGAGTTAAATTATTTTACAATATCACCCATAACGATACTGTTATCGCTAATGTAAAACGTCAATTCAATTCAATTCTTTACTTACTTATAAAAGAAAAAAAAAGGAGAGCATGGATCTAGTCACGTGGTTGAACTCATCAATAGCACGTCTGATCCGTAACCAAGGCAACACGTATCTGCACGCGTTTGCTCGATATAATACAGTTTCTTCCTGTTTGGGGTCGCACTCGTCGGTGCATGACAAGCGACTGTCGCCGAAAAACACCGACAGGAGAAGAGATACGCTCTAAAGAATGTGATGTATGAGGTCGAATAATGAAATTGTTAAAATATTTCGATAAAATATAACGGTTCAATGAGATTTCGCAATTTTATAAAATATATATGAAACCCTAGAATAGTTACCGGACAGTAAATTTTTTTTTATTTATTTCTTAGACAGTTATTTGATAAATAAATAAAAATACCGCAATGAAACCGCGACGAAGTAAGATCACCGCGTACCAAAGCACTCTTACGTATTCAAATGTCAATGTCCAGACTCTTCGAAGCGTGTAATTTAAACAGAAAAAAAAAAAAGGATTTAGGCCAGAATCTTTTAACACTATTATAAGATGTTTGCATCACTGACCGATATCTTTTTATGGGAGTAAATTTTGCCTTAGGCTGTCGGAAGACATGAGAATGGTGAAGCAGTTTATCAGGTCAGGGGTAAATCACGTGATTTACCAAGGATGTAAATACTAATTTGTATCTTAATTTACACAATAAGTGTTTTCTTCGTACCGCTTATATAAATATACCAAAATGATAATCATTATTGTTATTATAAATCCTTCAAATGGTATAAATTAAACTATATTTTAGGAACGAGAAAAAAAAATATATAGGTTGTTGTTATATCGTTTATAGATTAGGATATTTTTAAAAAGGATAAAATTAGCTTACGCAATGAAAATTATTGCTTCATACAATATATATTCAGTATATGTACAATGTACAGACTGTAATTTAACTACCGCTATTGACTCAAATTCTATATAATTTTTTTAAAGTTTATTATAAATAACTTTCTTTTTAATATTTTAACGTTAAACCAAAAATCTTCGACGTGTTTATATTTAGCCTTTTAACATTTAGCCAACTTATACGAATAAATTTCATCTGTGTCTTGTTAACTTTTTATATGCGGAGTTATATAATAATTTATAGAAAACATGTGCATAGGATTTTAAACAAATATTAATATCTAATTTCTTAAAAGGAGCAGGAAATCAGTTTATATATACAAAAAGGAACAGCTACTTGAGTACACAAATCAAAACCTCAAGGCTGTCGGCTAGCGAGTCATGTGATTTAGACAGCTGTTGTTAATACAAAATCTGTCTTATATCCCCTAATGAATACGACACGCATCACCGAATGCATATAATCATTCCAAATTCCTATAATAAATCAATATAAAGTCTTATTTAACATAATTAAATCAGCATCCTTCGAAAAGAAGGCGCGAAATGCGTACATAAACTTCGCACTTACAAATTTTGCCGACGTCATATTTATTCTATCTGGATACAAGTTATCTGTATGAAAAAAAGAGTTTTTAAGTCTCCGTTACGAAGGTTCTAAATTCAGAAACACACTGCTGACGTCATCAGACGGCACGTGGCCATGCGTTCCACGAACAGTTTAAAAGTTGGTTAAGGGAAGTAATAGAAACAAGGGATGCGTGTGTTTCGTACAGCTACACGTTTAACTAAAGCCCCTTTAAATCTTATTTAAAGATTGAAAAAGAAAGCTCTTTCTAGAATATTTATAACTTTTAAAAGAATATTTTCAAGCTGTAAGGCGATTTTTACAAGAGTAAATAGTCTCGACCATTTTGGCAATGACACCATTGCCAAATTTCGATTCTGACAGGAGTAAACAAAATTTTAAAAATAAAAATCCTATTAAAATATTTACTTATAAATTATTTTACAGGCGAAATAATACATTTTAAACTCGTAAAAAAAATTATACGGATTTTTCATTATATGTTTTCCTTTAACCCGACACGACGAGGAAGAAGAAACAGTTTGTAAATACCGCACAGTTGAATTAAAGCCAACGATCCAAACCAAAAAAGAGGTTAAGAGTATCTTAGTTAAATAGTAAAATATTTCAAATATTTGTTCAAAAGTTAATATACTATATTTAATATTATTAGGCAGAAAAGAATAATAAAACATACCTCCGTCCATCATTAACTATTTGTATTACTGCCGCTACAGGAAAAATAAAATTCAAACGAGAAAACTAGGACAAAACTACAGTTATTAACCAATCAGAATAAATGATACAAGGGCTTGTTTGTGTATTCAACGAATTGAAATTCTTTACAGTTGTTTTTTTTTTATTTAACAAAAAAGTGGTCAGCAATCGACCGCTTCCTCGATATTATAATTTTATAATAATTGCAGAATTTGAATTTATAACCGGAGGGAAGATGAACCGTTATGGTGATTTTGTCCAAACAAATCTCGAGGAGGAAGAAATCGTAAAAGAAAATGAAACAAAATTGGTTATAAAGATCGGACATATTACTGCTTTCACCGTCTCTTAAAAACCCTATAACAATGTCGGGAAAAAGAACAATTCGTTCGGTGTTACTGACATTTTATTTAATCCGTAACCAAAGGAATCATTGAGATGACCTACTGAACCTCTTTGAAACGACCCGGTCACTCTCAATACCAGTTATGCAGAGCATTCAACTATCGAAAGATCTCTTCAGTTTTTTTCTTTTTCTTATTCATTAAATCAATATCAAATATCTCGAGTCTGAAAATAACAACCGGTTAAAGTTATATTAATTTTAAATATAATCTTTTAAATTTTTAAGTAATATAATCTGTTTGAGACTGTTTTAAAACAAAGAAGCTTTAAAGTTTCTTTAAAATTCTCTTTTTCTTTATGTATAAAGTAAGGTAGCTCTAAATTATATCTTTAAAGGTAGAAGAAAGCTTTAAATTATTTAAAGACGGTCTAAAGTTTCTTTAAATCTGTCTTTTTTATGTGTATATTAAAGGTAGTTTAAGTTAATTTGCTTGTTTACTTTTAAATACGGTTATGTAATAATTTATAATGTCAACTAGACAGGTCAACATTTTTATAGGACGTTGATGTCGAAATCTACTTAAGCTAGACCTTAATAACATTACCAAAAACATAATATACGTTGCATATAAGAATTATTCAAACTTATATTTTATAAAATTGGTCGAAAGTCTTTTATTCCGGATGATATATATCAAAATTGTTCAGATATTATTACTTTTGATTGAGAGGTCGTATTCTTATACGCTTGACTTTATTTTATATGATATATATTTACTTTACAGCAGATCTACGGATTATTTTACATTCCTAAACCTTCGTAAGACTTCAGGAAACAATTTAATAACTAAACACTTGATGAATAATATAATTTTAATTAGTTTTTATTGCGTATTTAACCCACGACATGCTTGACTTTGTTTCTCTATAGGTTACGATCAGTAATTATGGAAGAAGTTGAATCCAACTTAAGAAAGTATTTAGAAATGATTGAGTACTCTGTAACCATATTATTTAAAATAATTAAATCGGACAGTTCTTTTGTAATCGTATTGTCAAAATAAGGTCAAAAAGTTTTATGAGAATCAAATATACCTTCAGGCCAAATGACTCCCTGCATGCCTAACTGTTGATTTCTACATTTTATATAAATATTTACACTAAAATAACATTACTACAATACATTTTAATTAAACAAAAAAGCAGTTTTCACGGCACATATTTATTTATTTTACAAATCGCCGTAATTAAAAATAATGTTTGAACTTGCAATTTATCAACGTGTAAGAAGGTTAGTTTAAACAGAAAAAAAGCATTTAACCTCTTAATTATGTGGTTAATGGATCAAAATATGTCAGCGAGTTCAACAAGAGTCTTTCTATTCTTCTAATTATATGTTGGAGCGATATAATCTGCATGTGGACACGCCGGAAACTAGGGAGATTGAACTCTACACGGGAAAGGCAAATATATTTTCGGAACTGATGCACTTAGAATGCAATTCTGTGCTCACTCGAAGAAATTACTTCATGTGCATGTATCGGGAGCGGATAGTGTTTAAGTAAATCGTTGTCTTATTACGTGAGCTATAATTAAAATAAAATTTTAAAAAAACTTTAATTTTTTCCCCAAAATTTTAAAAGAAACGTCTTATTTAAATTGATCTTGACATTCATTAACAAATGACGATTATTAAATAAACGAGATAATTAATAGACCTTAACAACGTCCTATTTAATAACTCATTGATCGTGCATTAATTAATTAAGTAATGAGGTAATTAACGAGTAAAATAATAGCTTTTTTTTCTATTTTTCCTTTACAAATTTTGGAACAAGGAAACGAGCGACACTGAAAATTTAAATATGCAAATTATTAAAATTTTAGTAAAAAAAATTTTTATCATGTTCTTTACGCTGGATTTGTAAATATTCGGTGTTATTTTTATTTATTTATTCCGGACTTCCCGCTATTTGATGCTTGGAAAGAAAAGGGTGGGGATTGAAATGAGGAAATACCTTTAGATTAGATGAATGTATAGTGTTTTAAACGAACAAACAGCATCCTTCCTCTGGTATACAGTTTCTATTCTGTTTTTATACGGTTCATTTTTTAAATCCTTTATTAAAAATGCTTCTAAGAGCTAGGGTTATTTAACCGAGTTGACACTAAAACCGTTTAATGAAACAAAAAAATACTTTAAACAATTTTGCTTTTTTTTTTTTCCTGTGGAAGATAGTCGACTTGTGAACTCAGAGATGAAAATAGCAATGAACCCCTGCGATTCAGATACAGAAAGAACATTTCAATATCAGCAAAGACTTTGCGCTCTGGAATATAGAAGTAATAAGTATCGTCTTACTAGAACTATGTCGCCTTTGTCGGAAATTGAAATCCTATGCTTGCAATAAACACTATACTTACATTGATTTATAAGGAAAAATAATAATAAATTAGACGGTTACTGCATAATTATCTTTAAATAAATAAGAAAAAAGAACACTTTTCATTCATAATTATGCTGTATTTTTCATAATAAATACCTAAATATAATGGCTTTCGACTCGGTGGCGCGTGGGGGCCGAGCGAATTTGAATTAGGGGGCCCGAAAAATATCCGAAGTCAACACTGTACACGCAGTGTTGACTTCGGATATTTTTCTTCGGGGAATTTTGGGGACCCCCGTTGATGAGAGCCACAGGCAATTGCCCTTTTTGCTCTTATGGAACTCGTTGGATCTACTTAAATTCACTCAATTTTCGATAATTTACAGTCATATAATACGAGTTCCAATAGGCGAGAACTAAAATAGAATGGCTTTCGCGTACTGAAACTCATATTTATCTTCGAATTATTGAGTGAATTTAAGTCTAAATTTCTGATTGAGGTTGTTCTTCGAGATTGTAAATAAAAATATATCTGCTTTTAGAAAGTTATTATTTAGTTTTCATACGTTCAATCATTCTTTTAACAAATATCACAAAGGCATAAACCAGACTAAACAATCGTCTTAATTACCAGAACAAAGAAAAAATAATAATATAAAAAAAAGCATTAGGTTAACAAAGAGTCTCTATGGGTGAAAAATTATATGCGGTAGTAAATATATCCAATTGGCTTGTTTTACTACAAAATGATAAAAGTCGTGTCTTTGTATTAAGAAGTTCTATTTTCGTCTTGAATCTCTGCCAAAATAGACTCTGGGGGACTTTCTTACCAGAAGAAAAAAATTCATGTAGCAATCTACTTCGTTATTACTCACATTTATCTCTGTAAAAATTCAACACGAAATAATTTTATTCTGTTAGTAGCGGGCATAAAACTTTAATTCACTATTATCTCTTTCATCTCCTTACTTTCACTACATAATAACGGAGCTATAATAAAAGAGCATCGTGTGTGTTGTGTTTTTTTTTTTTCTTAATCTATGCTCGACGAAATTAAATCACATAAAATTATAATAAAACTCGCATCTCGCAGGGATTCGAATTGATTTTTGAAAGTTCTTAAATCAACCCCCGCGATGAAGAAACCAGACGCTATATTTTAAGGGGTGTTGACACCGGAAATGACGACACATGACGTAAGGTGCAGAAGGAAAATCTGACAGATGGCATCACTTAAGAGCAACAAGCCATCTTTCTATCCAAATTGTCATTTCGTACCAATAAATAAATATTTTACTTTAAAAAAAGTAAAACACAAATAACAAATTAGCAAATCATTAAATTCACCAAATATACCTTGTCAATGTTATTACATAATTAGTTTTTGCAACGTGAAAACTAATTGAATCGAGCCATGTTTTTTTTACTTTAAATGTTAATTTATTTTATTAAAATAAATTAATTTTATAATTATATTTATGAAAGTAACTTAATCCAAATTAAATATATTAAGCAATATTTCTGTTACTAAAAATAGATTTTGAATTTTTAAAGTTTTCCACATCACCCTTAAATTATATACTAAGTTTTTGGCTGCCCCTTAAATATTTTAAGGGTCAGCCAAAAACTCTCAAATATTTTAAAATATTTTTTGCCTTCCTAAACTTTTAAAGTTACTTTATACACTAATTTTTTTCTCTCTCTAATTATAAGTAGAGCTTTAATGATTATTATCGCTCCACTTCGATCTTTGAAGATGCCATAACAATATACAATCGCTGTAGATATAACATCGCATATAATATAATAATATTATGATATTTAATTTTTAATTTTAGTAACCCATTCAAAAGTAGTCTACGGATAAATATAGAAACATTAGCAAAGGACTTAAATGTTTAAAAATGAATTCTTACAAATGTAAGCTTTCTATGCACTTTTTGAAGGTCGTATGAACATAAATTGGCCGATATATAGAATGCACTTTAATC